TCATTTCTTTTTGGCATTTTTTATAGACGCCCACTCAATTTTTTAAATTTAAGAATTTTATTCTTATTCTTTTTTTTTTATAAATGACCTTTTCAATTTTTAAATCTTCACAATAAGGTACAATCAAATAATGTTTGCTTTTTTAACTATTCTAATCATGTGATATATACGTGAACATTTATAGAGAGAAATTAAGATCATTTCTCATCTTTTGTTCAGTTATATTAATTTTAGAGTCATCTAATGTGTTCAAATATAATCAATTGTGATAAATAATTTTTAATTTTTAAGAATTGTTGCCCTCAATAGACTCTTTAAGAGTGAGAAATGATATTTATTACCCTAAATAAATGCTCACACGTGCGTTAAGTGATCAAAATCATCAAAAAAGTATATGTTATTTTCGATTCAACCTTAACTGTAAGAATTTTTAAGTTGAATGAGTCAACTATTAAGAAAAAAAGAATAAAGATTAAATTATTAAATTTAAAAAATTGAGAGAATGTCCTACAAAAAAGTTAATTTTTTTACGGGGCCTTGAGTTGATTTTATTAGTAAAATAAGTTGTAAAGAGTAAAATTTCGATGCCGTCATATAAGATTGTCGTTACATAGCTATTCTAATAGCTTGTTAGATAACCCTTAGCGACAAGTGATAACTCTAGGATTCTTATCTTTGCATAATTTGTTTATATTTTGTTGACAATGACTTGTTAACTACCCTCTCTAGTTATTTGACTTTTGTGGTTTTACAAGCGAAAGAAACGTGTGAAATGCAAAATTACAAGTTGAAAATCTTAAAAGGAAGATAAGTGTACGCACCACAAGTTGAAACTGCATGCGAGGGCGATTGAATGGTTTTAGAAGCACCCCCCGTACGCATCCTCGCAAAGAAGAGTAGTCTTAATTACATCACTAAAAGTAGTGATTAGTGCATGAAAATGCACCCTAATACTGTTTTTAATTTATATAATATTAAAATATTTAAGCTTTAATTAAACAATTCTATTATTTTTATTCATAATATTTTTAATTGGAATTTGTATAGTTTTTGCTTAATTAGTTACAGATAAAAGCAGTGTAAAAAGCCACAAAAGAAAAAGCCATGAAAACCATATTCTCAGCCGTTTAAGCCCATTGAGCCGCGTCAGCCCGTGAGCCGTTTAACCCACCGAGCCAACTCACTAAGTCAGCGCAGAAATCCGCGCCATGTCTTTCCGCCATCTCGTGCCTCGCGCGTCACCAGCACGCCCCACTTCACAGCGCGCATCCCGTGCACGCGAGATCTCCAGCGCGTTCCAACCCGAACTCCGCGTGGGTCCCACACCTGTGATGCCAGCCTGCTCCTTCCCTCTGCGTGTGCCAGCTGTCCGAGCGGGTCCCAGCTGTCTCCAACCGCCAGCTCCCTTCTTCCACTCCGCGCGCGACACGTGGCGGCCTTTTCTTTCCCTCCAATCAAGCTTCGACACGTGTTCCCTTTGAAATGAATCTGAATTTCTTCCCCAAAAATCAGAGAAAAATACTAGATTTCTTTCCCAAATCAAATATATGATTTTTCTTAATTTATGTGTAATTTTATTTTGTTTCCTTTTCTTTTGTAAATTTTCTAGTTTTACTATTTATTTCCTTATTTGACAGGCAACCTCTGAACACTATAAATAGAGGGGTTGGCCTAAGGTTTTAGGAGGCTTTTAATATTCAGTTTTCTGTCGTCTTGCTGTCAGTCTCATATTTTTTCTCTAGAACTTGTGAGAATGTTTTGCAAGATAGGCTAGAGTTTTCTTGGTGAGGTTAGAGATGAACTTCTGTTGAGTGACCCAATTCGGGGTTTTGATTCCTTATTCTGTAAACTCCAACATATGAATGAATTTAATCTCATCTATTTGTCTATTACTTTTCAAAATATTGTGTGCCAATTTTTATATAAGTTCAGTCACGCTTTTCTTATGTAATTATATCACGCAATGTTTTGTTATTCAATTTATTTTACAAATTGTCTTTTACTGCAATATTATCAGATTGATATATTGTCGATTTTAGATAACTTGTAATAATAATATTTTTTGAGCCAACATAGAGATTTAATTTATTCGATTATTTTATTTTGTGAATCAAAACTTGAATTGGTGAACGAAGCATTAGGGATTCTCGACACCTTACCGTTTTCTTCATACAGTTTTTCTCCTTTTTATTTTATTTGCAACAAAAATCTCAAAAACTTTCATTTTTCTTTGATTCACTTTTCTCTAACGCTCTTATTCTGTTAATCATTCTTGTTATTTTGTTATCTCTCTATGGATACGACCGCCCTTCTGTGTTACAATTGACCGCTTGTGAATATCACTTTTGGGCGTTAATCAAGTAACGTGTTTTTTTCACAACTTAAATCACAATTTAAATTTTTTTTACTACAGTATTTTCTCTTACAAACATTTAAATTCAACTTCTTTTATTACAGTATTTTCTCTTACATTAAAAAAAAAAAAAAGGTTTGAGTTGTTGTTTTAGTTGTTTTTCTCTTCCTTTCTTGACACAGTGTTATTGGGTTCGCACAGCCTGGGATGCCCTCATTGTTATGAACTTATGATGCTAGCCCTAGATTCTGAGAAATTTAAAAGCATTTCTCTTTTCTTTTTTTTAATATATATACACAATAAGAACTTAGAAAAGACAATAAATGACCAAAGATTCGCTATACAATTTATGATCATAAATTTTTATTTTTTATTTTTGTTTTTTGCTAGAAAGATAATTTTAGATTTGATTGAAAGTGTGTGCTTGCTTGATGCCCAAGGATACGTTGAGCCCAAAAGCATTTTTATTTTCCCCTATAATCCTAACTTGAGTTTAACAAAGACAAAACATGACTTGATTCTTGGAATTTTCTCATCATACATAGGTTTGACTGATATGTGCAATCATCGCCATTATTTTTTCTTTTTTGGTTGAAAATGGAGTCTTTTTTTTTTTTTTTTTTTTTAAAGAAAAATGAACTAGGTTGGTTAGGTAAAAATTCAATATCGGCATAATTATAACGGCCCTTAGAATGAGACTAGACCAGATAAATTGGGTTTAAAATGCATTCTTTATTCGAAGTATAATTAACAATATCTCTCTTTTAATATAATTAAAAAGTATGGATTGCACATTCTCAATTGTTAAATTATCGAGATTAAAAAGAAAAATTGGCAAAATCACTCTACTCTATTACTTTTGAGAACGTGTTTCACACGGACTGCCGTGTGTAAGTCACATAAGCAGCCTATTAAAGTAACTCATTTTCATTTTAAACACATGGTATTAGAAGAGATTAAAAGACAATTAAATAGATGTATAATTATCAATGAGGCACATTTAAAAACATATGATTTAAAAAAATGTATCGAAATATGTGTTTCAATCGCAACATATATTTCTGTAGAATGTTATATTTTTCATAAATAAAATAGAACATACTCAAAAAAATATTTTGATATGGAAAAATCAAATAGAAAACTAATTATAGTGTACATATAGAAAAGAAAAGGATGTTTAAATAAGCCATATTTGAGAATAATTGTTTTAGTAGTTGCTCTTTAATATAAAACATATTAAAATTAAATCAATTTGAAAACTAATTAAGGTGTATATGTGAAAAGGATAAAATGTTTAATTAAAGGTATATTTGAGAAAAAAATTTCATTGAAATAAAAACGAACAAAAATTTAGTCAAACACATGTAATTTGAAATATATAGAGGATTGTAAAAAAAAATATACTTAAGTTGGGATATATTTGTATTTTGACTGAAAAACTAAAAAAGATGAAAAATAATTTAATGTAGCGAGTACAAAAATAAATAAGATATTATATGGAAAATGTGAAAGAAAACAGAAAAATGAGAAAAAATGTAAATAAAAATTTGAGAATATGATAATTTATATATTTTACGTTTGAATTTGTAAACTACAAACATGTAATTGTATAAATTACGTTAAATTTGTGAATTTATAAAAAATACACTTATTTGTGCATTTTATGTTGAAACTTGTAATGACATTTATAAATTTATAAAAATTTACATTTAATGACATTATTTTTTTTCGCTTAATGTGATATTTTGTTTCTGCTAAATAAAAGCAAGGGGAGAGGGATTGTCCACGATGTTGGCCTCTCTCTAGGAGGAATGTCTCTTTGACTCTTGACACCATTTATGTTATTAATTATTTTCTTTGAAAATTACAACAATAGACTATTGTATCGCTTTCAAGAATTTTCAATATAATTAATTTATTTTATCATGGGAACAGCAAAACTCATTAGAGTCGTACTAAATTAAAACATAAATGTTATGGTAGGATTTTTGTTCTTATCGTTCGTATTTTTTAATATTAAGTTACTATCATAATTGTATCCTAATAACTTAAGAAAAATATAATTGTATCCTAATAAAAATTGTTATTTTTTAACTGTTAATTGTTTTTTTTAAATATATGTAAATATAATAGAATCTGACAGGCTTTTTCAAGTAAAACAAGAAAAGTAAAAAAAAAATATATATATATATATATCACCAATAATGGACTTTCCTTTCCTAAATTTTTTAGGATTATTTTTATAATTGATACTCTAATACTGTTAGAAATGAAATTGAATACTTGCTTGGTTAGCCAACACTGCACGTAAATGCAAGTAAAATTGTTCATCATCACAATCACCACCGTTCACCATTTCAAACCGACAATGATCGGACGGCCAGGAGCCTCAAAGAGGACGTACATATCGAGGGGGAGAGAGTAGGGACCACAATGTGAGTTAACATAGTAGGACCCACATCAACCATTTGGATTTGGATGAAAATTAAAAAAATAAAAAAACGACTGATACGTGGATGGAAGAAGTGAGGGAAGTTATTATAACACCCATTATTGCCCGATAGACACGATCTGTGATTTGAACACGTGGACGGTGGATTTAAACCCAACCACTCTTCTCTCTCCTCCCTTGGTCCTATAAATTGTAGTCTTCCCTCTAAACTCGTTCAACCGAGAAAGAAAAGAAATATACTCTGCGATTGCTCTTTTGTGTGACATTTTCAGTTTTGTGTTGCTTTGAATATCAGTGAAGATGTCTTGCTGCGGAGGAAACTGTGGCTGCGGCGCTGGCTGCAAGTGCGGCACTGGCTGTGGAGGGTGAGTAATTTGTTCTTTTGATCTATATATATATATATACACATATACACATACGTATACATCTACCATATAAAAACATATATATGGATTATCGTTTTGGTTTTGTTGTGTGGGCGATTAATTTCTAGGAGAATATTTTGTTAAGCATAAAAGAAAAACATACTCATTTTCATGGAGGGTATTTTATTTATTTATTTATTTTTACCATATAAGAAAACATTCCTTTTCTTAGAGGTGATTTTCTTCTGGAGATTTTTTTTTTTTAATCATATAAGAAGAACAACTGGGTTGTTTTCTTTTGATTTTCTCTTTAGGGGGGATGAATTTTCTTGGAGAATTTGTTTGACATGCAAAGATCAAATTGAGAGAGAGAGAAAACCTGTAATAAAGCATATTATTTTACCATGAGCACCATTTAATCTCGTGGTTTTTAATACGATGTAAAGACGTGTATTAAATTCTTAACCATAAGTCTTTTTATAAGAGAATTTATGATCATATCATTATATTTGCTGATTAAATTGTGATTATGGTGTTAATTAGGTGCAAGATGTACCCTGACATGGGCTACACAGAGACCACCACCTCCGAGACCCTCATCATGGGTGTTGCAACTGACAAGGCGTAAGTGCTACCACTTTTATTTATTTTATTATTCTGTTCCTGTGTTTGGTTAGCCAGAAAATTGAAAGAAAAATGTTTGAATATAAAATATTATCATAATTTGGGGTGATAATTTGTGTCACGTATTATTTGTGTGTATTTTGATCGTGACGCAAAATTTCTTAAAAAAGCAACATAAATATGATAAGATTACTTTACAAATGACTCCTCACGAAAATGACTCAGTCACAAAAATGACTCGTCACGAAAATGACTCGACACGAAAATGACATGTGAATTTAAAATTGACACAAAAATTATATATTTTTATTTAATTTTTTACATATTAAAAATAACTTAAAATTTATAACATATAAAATAAAAAATATATGTATTTTTTAATTTTTTATGAATTTTGTGTCGTGTTCGGATTAAGAATTAGACAGGTTAACTTAAAATTGACTAGTATTTTACAGGTCAATTTTAAGTTAACCTAATTTTAATTTGAATTTTTTTGTTCTTAATTTTAATCTGTAAAATTCGTGTCGTAGTGGTTGGTATCGTGATCCATATCATCAAGACTCCAATCATGACTATAGATTTTTTTTGTTGGGATACTTTGAGGGAACATTCAACAAAAATATCATTGCCATAAATCCAATGATTTTTTTTTTTCATATAACATAAAATGGCTAAATTTTATTTATTTATATATTTTTTCTTGTTTCAGACACTTTGAGGGATCTGAGATGGGCGTGGCAGCAGAGAATGGCTGCAAGTGCGGAGACAACTGCCAATGCGACCCGTGCACTTGTAAATGAAAAGAACTCAGCCTCTCAAAGCAGAGATAATTACCCTTTTGTCCTTGATGAACAAGGGGAAGAACAAGAATAATAATAGCTTTATTGTGGTAGTCTTTTAATGTGCCTTTTCGTGTTGTTTTTAGAGTCTTTTTATGTTGGAATAAAGTAGTCATGGCTTTTCCTTTTGTGTCTCGGTCTTAGAAGCCTAGGCCTTGCCAAAGGGTCACTTATATTATATGTTACAAAGTCATGGCTACTTGGCCTACTATGTTTGTTTGTCTTGCTTTGTGTACCAAAAAAAAAAAAAAAAGTTTTAGAATCTAATTTTAATAGTATGTTTGAGAGCCTTACTGTTTTGGATGAGGACGAAATATATATGTGGTAATCGTTTTGAGTTTTATTTGGTGAATTATTGAGACTCATTTTCTTTGTTTGAATATATATATATATATATATATATATGTATGTATACACACATTGATCTTTATGCTTCACATCAAGACTTGGGTCACTTCACACTTGATTCAAGTGGAAAAGGGGATTAAAAAAATAAATTAATGATTAAAAGTAACACTAGTGCATATTATATAAGACCAATACTATGTAGAATTAGTTATCTAATAAAAAAATTTACATGTTAATTTTATTTATTCATTGTAAATTTATTGTCACCATTTAAGTAGTTTATTTAAGTAAATATTGGATAAAATGCAATAATCTTACATTGGAAGGAGTGATGAAAGTGGAGGACGAAAACTTC